GAGAGAGAGAGAGAGAGAGAGAGAGAGAGACAGAGACAGAGACAGAGAGAGAGAGAGAGAAAGAGAGAGAGATCAATTCCAGTTTCTTCTGCCTTATACCGATTTCTCATTGTTTTACTCCCACAAAGGTAATATCGGTGCGACTTCTTGTGCTCACGGGCTTGAATCTCTGGGAATAAAATTAAATGGCTGGTGGCAATTACCTTTTCTGAAATAGCTATATCTTTTTTTTTTCTTCTTCTTTTTTGTTGTTGACTTTTTAAAAGATTCTTTTTCCATTTTACTGATATTTTTTTTAGGTTGGTGGTTGTAATGGTGTACTTGACGATGTGTGTCCGGGGGCAGGGGTTTAAAAATGCTCAAAATGCTATAATATGTTGCGCTCAAGTAGAAGCCTAATTGTCTGCGTGAGTCCTGTGGTGTTACACATAACAACTAGGGTAGCTTTCAGTTGTTTGGAGTGAAGATTTATTGTCATCATTGTAATGGTTTATGGTCCATTTCAAGACTGTACTTTAATTAAGAGGCGGTATTTTCGAATTTAGCACCCATCTTCGACGAGACCAAGCCAACCAACTGGAAAGCCCGAAAGAAACAATTTCTTCAGTTCAGAGCATCCTGTTTTAAAAAACAAATTGAACAGGAGCCATCTCCTCTGTAATCAACAAAATACCAACCGGGCTAACGGCATGCCCCTGGAGATTTAGTGCAGATAAACCTTGACAAGGCCTGTTGTGAACTTGTCCCCACTGAATCAGAATAACAATCTGCGCGGCGACAAGCAATTACCTGTTAATTAAGTGTCTTCGTGGTGAAATCAGGCTCTCGTCAAAAGGACGAAATCGAAGAACCCCAAATTTGTCCGCTCGATGGGCAATTTCTACTGATTCTTTTTACCCAACTCCTTTTACGTCCATTTAATGACACATTTCTGTGTGGAATTTTCTGGAAAAATCCTCACCTCATAACTATTAATTGCATTTTGAACAAAATCTGAGGTGACGAAATGTTAATCAAAGATAAACAAATTATAAATTTGTAGTTTCTAAGTACACAAAATCTTTGGAAGTCACGAAACTTTAGCGGCCATTTTCTGTCCAGGTTTACCTGTAACACCAGGAAACCCCACCTCATTCAATATCTGTGTCTATTCAAGGTAGATAGGTATTTATTTTATCAAAAGCTAAACAAATGAATAGGCTTTTTAGGTGATACCAATACTCTATTGCCCAGATATTACGAGAGCCTGAAAATTCAGTGTTGTGCCACAATTAGTAAGCGTGTTACGGTGACCCAAATGCAAAGTGTTGACAACTTTCAAGTCTTCCGACACAGCTCCTAAATCTGTCTTTGTCTTGGTTCTAGGTTCGTTTGGTTTTTGAATAGTGTCACGAGACCTGATTTAGCTGAGTCCATGGAAACCTCCAGGCTGGCGTTTCATGAGAATGCTCCCATTTCCCCCTTCGAAGTACCCAAACTCCCAAATATCAGTTTTCAAACTCGACAAAAAAATTACCTACAGTCAGGGTAGAGGTCAAACACTTCTCCTGGAGCGCAAAACGATATATTCTGTAAATAACTGGAAGCGTTTTACGCCAGCATCGATGCTAATTGGAGCTCCTAGAAGGTGGGCTTCTTTGACCGTGTATGTCTGGGCCAACCGGAATGAATGGTGGTGTACAGAATCCCAGGAGAAAAACTTAGATACCAGTACTCGATAATATGATATACTTCTTCTCATGGGAATTTAATTCGCGTCTTTTGCGGCAACGAAAAGCGAAACCATTTACATTACAGATACTGGTAACAATTTTCTGGAATTTATAAGTTATGGCGTGCGTCACTGGCTATGAGGCATAGCCAAAATTTTTAACATATCATTGTAAAACATCGTATGACGTGATCCGCGGAAACAAGATATCCTATCAAAACTACAATTAATAAAATTATTTACACTCCAATCAACACATTTTAGGCCATGTGATGCGCGATAACCAGACAATGTATCATCATTTTATTTGATATGACATCAACAGCGACAGTCAAAAGATCACCATATCAACATCAACACCAACAAACACAACCTCCTGGGTAAGTATTTTAACTGTCCCAGTTGGACCCTTTAAAAATCAGGCCTACGACAATATTGACAAACCCAATGCCACCCATCCTGACTTTTTACTTTAGCTGTTATCTTAAAACGTTCGCTGTTGAAATCCAGAGATGCTGAAAGCAGTACAGCCTTCACATAACACGGCAATGGATCTCCGCACGTCATTGTCAATGTAATCAACGACTCCATTGTTTCAAGAACAACGAGTTACGCAGGACGTTGTTATGTCTTTCTTGGCTGTTTGGCTGTTGCTGGGTTGTTGCCCTTTTCTCTTTTTGGGGTTGCTGTTTTTTTTCAACAATAACACCCTCTGATTGTACGAGAGATAAGCATCGAGAGAGAGAGAGAGAGAGAGAGAGAGAGAGAGAGAGAGAGAGAGAGAGAG